ATTTAAGGACTTGTTTATTGTATCTGAGCATATATCCCGAAGACCATATGATTGAGAAAGATAGTCTGATATGGAAGTTGGTTGCTGAGGGTTTTGTCCAGCAGGAAGCAAAGGTAGGATTATCTGAGACTGGTGAGAGATACTTCAACGAGTTGATAAATAAAAGCATGATACAACCAGTAGAGAGCCCCCTGCATAATGGCATCATAATTGGTTGCCGTGTCCATGATATGGTCTTTGATATGATCAATCTTATAGCGAATGAAGAAAATTTTGTCATTGTATTAGATAGATATCAGCAAGAAACATCTTCAGATAGCAATGCTCGTAGATTAGCCGTTGGACGGAGACACAACCCTCTGGTTAGCACATGCATGCACCAAGTCAGGTCATTTAATGCCATGTGCTTGGATGAATTCCTTCCGTCGCTTTCGTGCTTCCAAGTTTTGCGTGTTCTAGCCCTAGAAGGTGATATTTTATCCAAGCACAACAGTAATTGTCTTGAGAATATTGGGAAGTTAGTTCACCTGAGGTATCTTGGAATAGGGAAGATGGTGGATGTCCTCCAGTTACCGAAGGAAATTGGGGATCTAAAGTTCTTACAAGTGTTGGACTTGGGTTGTGATACACTAGAAGAACTGCCGCAGAGTGTTTGCCAATTAAGTCAGCTCAAGTGCCTGCGCTTTGACGGTACAAGGGCAAGAGTGCCAGATTGGATAGGGAGCCTGACATCTCTGGAAGAGCTATTGTTAGGCTGCGTCAACCAGCCTTCAGACTTTGTGAATGAGCTTGGCAAGCTGGCAGAGTTGAGGAAGCTCCGGATTAGTGAACATTTACGGTTGAACAATGCAATCTTGGTAAAAGCTTGGGCGGAGTCGCTAGCAAAATTGCATAAGATCCAAGTCTTAGACATTCATCGGGTTTATTGTGATATGTGAAGTCATTGTTAGTTTGTTTTGATCATGTAAAAGTTTGTTAAGTACTATGTATGGTTATTTCTGAATTCAAGCTACATGCAATTTGGTATGTGCATGTAAACTGTATTCGTGTTTGTATTTCTATATAAATCAGAGAGTAAACAACGAAAAGAAGCAAGTTTTACGCTTCACAAAATTTCTCTTTTTGAGTTTGCTCTTGTTCATTCGTCTGCGTGTGCGTCTGTGCCCTACTGTTTGCCCAAAAAAAACATCACCTATATAAATTATACATTGTTTTTGTGACGACAGAAAAAACAAAATCACAAAAAAGGGGTTTCGTTTGGCTTGCGGCATCAAGTAGTGCTTTGCTCTATGTTTAGTCAGGGAAGAAGCTCAGGTATTGGAGATATTTGCTCGTGTGATTCTGTGATTGCTTCCTTTCTTCACAGAACAAGAGCATATGCAGAAGGTGTGGAGTATAAATATTTTTCAAGAGAACATACTCTTCCTTTCTTCCTTCCTTCCTTCCTTACTTCCTTCCTTCCTCTCTGGGAAACAATGGAAGTGCGGAGCGGAGTATAAATATTACTTCCTTGTCCGGTCTACAGGTTGCCTCTTCCTCTTTGGGTTTCATTCTGATAGGTCTGTACTGGAGAATTTGAAGGGAACATACTCTTCTGAATTTCCAGGAGAAAAGACACTATTCTAAACTGCATAACAATGAAAAGTTGTGCTTTGAAAATTTGCCCTGCATCTCTAGAGGGAGGTTCGGCTATAATTTTTGAAAATCTGACATCCCAGCCCCGTCTGTCAAGAGCCAACGATTTTGGCTGTGTGCTTCCATTTTTCGGGTACAAGGAAAGTTCAGCACACAAGTTCAGCTCTGAGAGAGGTATTGCAAACAAAAGGAGAGAGAGAGGTGTCATGATTTAATAAGAGAACCATGTTTAGACATGTCTTGGGATGCCGACATGGTTTAGATGGTGGCCCTTCGACAACGATGCTTTTATTAATTACTGATGTTTCTTTTTGTGGTAACGTGTAGGTGTACTGCCGATGCATTTCAGAGGAGAAGCAATAAAGGTTCAGTTACAAAGATGGAATTATGCCTCTCAAGTGCCAATAAAAATAGAAGCATGTTTAATTACTGATGGTATCATGACGTAAATGGAGGGAGATCATACATATGATGAGGAAGTATGAGAGAGTGATATGCCAACAGGAGAGGGTAATAGCAGAGTATATCCCTGCAGCTAACTGAACAGAGTAAGAGCAGTTTCTCAGTTCATTTATGTTCAAGGTGATTATACTGGAGATTTAGAATGGTCATGTTTGTAAGCTTTCCGAAGAAAAAAAAAGTAGGAATTTCTCCGTTGATTTGAGGAGAGCTCCAAGTAGGACAAACTGGAGAGCTTTGAGAGTGCGTCACGATTTTATTCCCTGACAAATTGTTGTTTCACAACCACTGCTGGAGATTATTAACAAGAGGGTAAGGTACCGACGGATAAAGCATATCCCTCCTCTAAATATGTGTTGCTACCTAAATAAACACCAGAATACCGTCAAAGCGAACGCACTTGACCTGACTTAATTGACAAACACGCCTGTACACACGCAAAAACACGATGAAGAAACTCAGACGAGAAATTTTGTGAAGCGTACAACCTGCTTCTTTTCTTTGTTTTCTCTGTTTTATATAGAAATACAAACAGGACTCAGCGTCCATAGACAGTAAGAAAATTCAAGAACAATACGACACGACCTAATACGTCACAGGCGACGTATGCGGTTTAGACACACTCTTTGACATCATGGAAACAACTAACAGCTATCAAAATAAACCCGACCAATGTCCAAGACTTGGATCTTCTGCAGTGTTACTAGCTTCACTAGAGACTCCGTCCAAGCTTTTAGCGAGTTCAACCATAAACATCCACTGATGCGAAGCTTCCTCAACTCTGTCAGCTTGCCAAGCTCATTCACAAAGTTTGAAGGCCCATTGACAGAGCCTAACAATAGCTCTTCCAGAGATGTCAGGTTCCCTATCCAATCTGGCACTCTTGCCCTTGTACCATCAAAACGCAGACACTTGAGCTGAGTTAATTGGCAAACACTCGGTGGCAGTTCTTATAGTGTATCACAACCCAAGTCCAATGTCTGCAAGAACTTTAGGTCTCCAATTTCCTTCGGTAACTCAAGCACATCCACCATTTTCCCTAGTCCAAGATACCTCAGGTGAACTAACTTTCCGATATTCTCAAGACAACTACTGTTTTGCTTGGATAAAATATCACCTTCTAGAGCTAGGACACGCAAAACTTGGAAGCACGAAAGTGAAGGAAGGAATTCATCCAAACACATGGCATGAAATGACCTTACTTGGTGCGTACTCGTGCTAACCAGAGCGTCATGTCTCTGTCCAACGGCTAACCTCTGAGCACAGATATATGAAGAATTGTTGTGCTCGTATCCATCTAATATGGTGACAAATTTTGTTTGCATCGCTATCATAAAAATCAGATCAAGCACCATATCATGGACACGACAACCAATTATGATGCCATCATGCCGGGGTCTCTCAACCAGTTGTATCATGTTTTTACTTAGTAACTCGTTGAAGTATCTCTCACCAGTCTCATATAATCCTAATTCCGCTTCTTTATGGACAAAACCCTCAGCAACCCACTTCCATATTAGACTATCTTTCTCAATCATATGATCTTCTGGATATATACTCAGATACAATAAACAAGTCCTTAGATGACAAGGAAGATCATGGTAGATGAAAGATAGCATCCTTCTTGCGGCTTCTAGAGTGTAGTCATCATTTCTACCAATCCCGTTGTACACCTTAGACCAAGACTCCACTGGTTTACCAACAAGCAGACCAGCCATTGTGATTATAATCAATGGTACACCACCACATTTATGTAAAATTTTATCGTATGCCTCTGTTGGCCGGCCATAAGAGCATTTGCTTTTACCACCAAACAATCTTCTACTGAATAACTTCGCAGATAGCTCCCGAGAAAGTGGTTGTAGCCTGTATACCTCACCAGTCTCTTTGGCAACACTGAGAATACGAGTAGTTGTGATTATCCTGCTTCCACAATTATTATCCACAAAAGCAGACTTGATTATGCCCCATGTTTCTTCATCCCATATATCATCAATAACAATGAAGTACCTACCCAAATGCATAACAAATAACCATTATAAGTTGGTAAAACGATCTAGCAAGGCGCTGATCAATAATAGTTAAATAAAACAAAAAGGATGCATGGCAAACCACCTTGTTAAGGCATCATCCAGTTAAGAACTTGAGAACGAAAAGCTGGAGGAGAGGGGCATAATTTAAATAATTTGCTTTCAGCGTCCAGAATTTATATTTATGATAAATTAAAATTCATAATTTAAATAATTTTATGAATTAGATATGTTTTAAGAAGTTCTAAGAAACTCCCCCGTTACCAAAATATAAGGCGCACTTGACTTTGCACGGTCTTAAGTGCACAACTTTGAACATTAATATAATATGAAATTATATGGATTTGGCATGTATTAACGGTATCAATGTATTTGTTTTGCAAAATTATTTTCTTTCATTCTATCTCTGTCTCGTAATGAGTGTCAAAAAACGTCTTGTATTAGGAGACAGAGGGAGTATGTCTTTACAGCAGTTATATAGATTTACTAAGAACGAAAATTTTAGTCAAAGCTGTGCATCAAAGAACAGATGAAGTTAACCAGGCCTTATATTTTGAGGAGGGAGTATTGTATATTGATGGCCATTCACGCCCAACTGATAGCAAACAAGGTAAGAAAGAATGGTATTTTTCCTTAATTTGTAAAAATACATAAGAGCTATCATGGGCTACCCAAACCAAACCGTTCTCTAATGTAGAACATCTCAAGACAAATTCAGTGCTTTATCAAATATACTTAATTTTATATAAAACTATATAACTATATATATAGTAATGTGGTTACCTCTTGTTCTTGAGTAATCCTCGAAGTTGGTCGATCAGCTGCCTTCCATTCAACCATGGGGACATTTGCTTGTTAATTCCAAAGATAATGTCGCTAAGAAGTTTCTTCACGTCCGGGTTCTGACAAAAGTTGTCTTGCCAAGACAAAAGCGCTACAATCAAACTGCCCTTTGAGCTTGTCATACACTGCTTTGGCAAGAGTTGTCTTGCCAAGACCTCCAAAACCGATAATAGAGAGCATCTTGAGTTTCTTGGACACATCACCATCCCCATCTGAGAAAATCTTGGTTATCTCATTAAGTGAACCATCAATGCCAACAAGCAGCTCTTTCTGATCCAGCGGGCAAGGGTCAACCATGCTTGCGGCAGTTGAATTCACACCAACCTCGTTGGTGTTGATGTTTTCGATCTCCCCGGCGATCTCGCCCTTGGGGAGCAAACGACGCATCTTTTTCATGAGCTGCCTGAGCTTTTTTAGCTGTAAGGTGGGCTCGGGCCCCTCCACGAACTTGTCGACGATGTCTTCCATTCTGTATGAGACGTCCCTGGCCTTGCTTACCCGGATCCTGAGATGCTCGTCCACCTCGCCCAGCGGCACTTCCCCAACCTTGCGGAGGGCGGCGTACACGCTGGTCAGCTCTCTCTTGAGATACTGGACGCCTCTCTTGACTCCGGCCTGCAGCTTGTACTCGTCCGCGAGGAGGTCGCCGAGCTTGAGGAGGAGGCTGCCCATGGCCCCCGTCTCCACGTCCATGGCTTGCGCGGCTAGTTGCGCCGGGTCGGGGCGGCCGGCGGCGCTGGGGTCGGAGCGGCAGAGCCGGCGTTAGGAAGCCACGGGACGGCACTGCTATGGCCGGGGTGGAAGAGGCTGGCGTTTGGCGGTGGGGGTGACGGACGGCGAGGCTGTGTTATGGCCGGCGGCGGTGAGAGCGGCGGCAGGATTTAGGATCTGTGGACTGTGGGAAGGGTGTGTGTGGAGAGCAGATCTGGCTGCCTGCAGTTGGAAGACCGACAGGGTTATTCATTCAGTCCTGACAAATGATTCCCCACTTCTTCTTTTATTTTATTTAAAATTAAATACTTGTATACTTTCCGTAATAAAGAAGACGCCGTCCTCGCCCCGACCATCGAATCATTTGTCGGGATGCGTTTGGTTTCACGTATATACCCCAACCAAACGGGTAGGATAGCCATTTTTTTTCGTTTGGTGTGGGTGGATGCAAGGGGCCACAAATTTTGTTTGTTTGGAAGGATAAAAAGGGATGAGAGGACTCTTCACTGTTAAGTTGTTAATTTTGAATCTGAAACACTTGCAAAAAGAGTGAAAATAACAGGCATCAAATACACACACTAAGGGCATCTTCAATGGTTGTAAGATAGTTGTTGGTAGACTTTGTCATGTATGATTTTTTATCATGTGTTGTACAATAAATGAGGAAAGAGAGAAAGGTTGTATGTACATGAATCAACACCCCTTACACAAGCTTCAATATAGAATGAGAGAGCACCTTATTTACTATCTCACATCCTATTTGGCAAACTAAATACAACACATTAAAGTTATTGTATGTTAAGATGTTGGTTGATGACATGGCATATTTTACCAACAACCTAACATACAAATTGTTGGAGATGCCCTAAGCATTGGCAGCTGATTACAAGGGTTCTAATTCCCAAGTAGTTTCTCTACACTTAACTTCAAAAATTCAGAGATAATCGAGTGCCCAGCATGAGCAGGGCACGCACAACACATCTCCTCAGTTCTCCGGGGCATATCACAGGCCAGCACTACTACAGCACGCGCGGCCCACGATATGCCGTTCGCAGGCGCATCGGACGGAGGGAACGGGGCCTAGATCTGCTACTGCCACCATGACCTCTATTCTCAGAGAGATAAGAAAGGGAGGACAGCGCACGGCAAGGAGGAAGATAATGAAGCAGAAAGCCAGGCCGCCGTGCAGTATATACTTCCGTTGCTGCACTTCCATGTTCCAGCGAAGCGGATTGGGTTTGTGGCAGGTGAACGAGCGACGGGACGCGAAGAACGTTTCGCGCTTTGGCTTTCGCGGCCGCGCATGAAGGATGCCCGATTTTGACGGAATCTCTACTCCTAATGTCTCAGTTGGTAGGTCGCGTTTCGGATTTTATTTTCATCCCATCTCACCCGGTCTTTTTGGTACTTCTTTGGTACTTCCTCCCACCTCCCTCTCAGCCGCAAAAAATCAAGGAAAACCCCACAATCGAGTCCCGCACACGCCCAACCTTCCGTCTCACGCTAAGCCGCATAGAACCAAAAAAAACCTCAAGCCGAGTCCCCCGCCCGCCCCCACGCACTCCAGGCCCTAACATCCCGTCGCACCAAGAGAGACGAACCAAAAAAATCTACGAATAGTCCGCCGGTTATTTTTCGCTGGTTTTTATTTCGCCTCACCACTTTCGTTGGTTTTATTTCGTCTCCCTCCCACCTGTCTTTTCGCTTCACCACCCACATAAACCCATCAGATTAGTTACCAACAAAAAATCGCAATCAATCAAGTATTGATGACTAGAAGAACGCCCGTGCGTTGCAACGGGGCCACATTAACTTTAAGAGTTCAATATTAATATTCTCATACATATCAATCCTTCTTCTCCTTTCGTCTGCCACCGAGACAGGGACCTAGACTTTGTGCTGCTCTTATTGATTTCAAACCCAGACGAGATGGGGTGGTGGGAGGGGGGACGAAAAAACCCAGACGAAACAAAGGAGAAGGAGAGCCTCATCAGTAGCATCATGGGGAATTTCAAACCTAGCGTTGTGCTCCGCCCAACGAACATGGACGCCGCCGCCGGCGGCCCGGTGGAGCTCGAACCCGAGAGACTCTGCTGCTTGCTGGGAGGGGTCGGGGAGGGTCGGAGCACATGAGCATTGACGTGAAGACAGAGTAGGCCGGGGAGATTACTGTGCACGCCGCACAGCAACTTGGACCTCGGAGGGCCTTAGCTCTGTCAGGAGGAGGTCCCGAGTTCCTGCCGAGGACAGCCTGACGGGGGAGACGCACGGCCGCTCGCGCTGCCCGCAACGCGACCACGCTCTGCCCTAGGGTTCTGCGACGGCGGCAGCGTCGTCCACAGCCACACCCTCTCTGAGTCCTGCCCTGAACTGGGGTTCCGAGATGGCGGCGGTGGCGGAGGTCTCTGAGGTTGGAGAGGGGCAAGATGTAGGACGGCGGAGGCTGGAGCCTGGAGCGATGGCGGCGTTTCGGGATTGCAGGCAGGGGGACGTGCGAGGTGAGTGTTTTTTTCACCGGTTTATGTTGTGTTGCCTGCACGGATATATAGGAGAACAAATAGGTGGATTATAATTCTTCCATTGTATAAGTGCTGGGAAAGGAAGCGAGGGACAAAAATCAATCGAGGGGCCTTTAAGAGTAGAGATTAGTTAATTGGATTTTTCTTTAAAGTCTGTTATTTGTTTTCTTAAAATTTATTATATGTTTCCTAAATCAAATTGCATTGATGGAAAGGATCGGTTGATTTGGATAGTCTATTATTTGTTTCCTTCACATCCATTATATGTTTCCTAAAGCAAATTGCATTGATGAGATGGATCGTTTGATTTGAATGGATCGATTGATTTGTTTCCTTAAAATTGGATTTTTTTTAAAGTCTGTTATTTGTTTCCTTAAAATTTATTATATGTTTCTTAAATCAAATTGCATTGATGGGATGGATCGATTGATTTAGATAGTCTATTATTTGTTTCCTTCATATCCATTATATGTTTCCTAAAGCAAATTGCATTGATGAGATGGATCGTTTGATTTGGATGGATCGATTGATTTGTTTCCTTAAAATTGGATTTTTTTAAAGTCTGTTATTTGTTTCCTTAAAATTTATTATATGTTTCCTAAATCAAATTGCATTGATGGGATAGATCGATTGATTTAGATAGTCTATTATTTGTTTCCTTCACATCCATTATATGTTTCCTAAAGCAAATTGCATTGATGAGATGGATCGTTTGATTTGGATGGATCGATTGATTTGTTTCCTTAAAATTGGATTTTTCTTTAAAGTCTGTTATTTGTTTCCTTAAAATTTATTATATGTTTCCTAAATCAAATTGCATTGATGGGAGGGTGACGCATGGAAAGTTATGATCCGTTAAGATTTTTTTCGTTGTGTGAGAGGGTGACGCGAAACTAAACCGGTGGGGTAGGGGAGGGACGAAAAAAACCAGCGAAATGAAACGGGTGGGAGGTGGAAGGAAGTACCAAAGAAGTACCAAAAAAAACCGGGTGAGGTGGGACGAAAAAAAACCTGGAAGCGAGACTACCAACTGCTCCATTAGGAGTAGAGATCAGATTAGTTACCATATAAAAAATAAATCGCAATCAATCAAGTATTGATGGGATATTTCCTTATATTGATGTGATTTCCCCTTTTTATCATCAATCGTCTCTACTGCCTAAAAAATGCGTAGCTTTCCTTTTCGCTTCACCACCCACATAAACCCATCAGATTAGCTACCATATAAAAAATAAATCGCAATCAATCAAGTATTGATGATCAGATTAGTTACTGTGTAAAAAATAAATCGCAATCAATCAAGTATTGATGGGATATTTCCTTATATTGATGTGATTTTCCCTTTCTTATCATCAATCATCTCTACTGCCTAAAAAAATGCGTAGCTTTTCTTTTCGCTTCACCACCCACATAAACCCATCAGATTAGTTACCATATAAAAAATAAATCGCAATCAATCAAGTATTGATGATCAGATTAGTTACCATATAAAAAATAAATCGCAATCAATGAAATATTGATGGGATATTTTCTTATATTGATGTGATTTTGCGTAGCTTTCCTTTTCCTGCCAACCGACCGCGTCCCGTCTCCCTACATCCGCCCTCGTTGCTCTGCCTCCCGCACGAAAAAAACCCTCTCGTTTGACCTCCCCCAAACCCCGCATGATGGAAAAACCCAGCCGCCTGCTTCCCCTCCTCTCGACCGCTCCATATGTCCAGATCGCGGCCCCATCCCCATCCTCCTCTCACGTCACGGCGGCCGATGGACTGCCGCCACCACCCTCCTACTCTCTCGCCGCCGCCGTCCTCCCGCTCGCTCGCCGTCGCCGTCGCCACCAATCCCATCGAAGGCGCCGTTGCTGCTATGTCGCCTCCTTTCCCCATCCAAGCCTGACCATGGCAACGGCGCCCTCTCATGTGTCCCGCGGTGAGGTTTGGGGAGGCGCGACCACAATCCAGTAGGGATCTCACCGCGGACCCGTCCGCTGGGATGGGTGTTGCCTCCGTTGCGAATGGGATCGAAGGGAGGGACTACTTCGTCGTCAAGGTCGGCGAGGCAGCGGCCGATTGGGAGCCCGGTTGTGAACATGGGTGTTCGTCCCCATGGAGGCGGCGGCCGTGGAGATTGGATGTGAAGCAACCCCACTTGCCGGTGGTGGAGGCTTGCCGTCCATGTGATCCTTTCTTCTCCCCATATCCCCATTCCTTGCCTCCCATTACAAAAGCGAGCATAAATGAGAGCAGGGGCTGATTTTCATCACTTCATTTCTCATACTTTTAGTTGCTTTTTTGAGATTATACAAGATGCTCTCGATCAGTTTTGTCAAATTACTTGGATCGTCTTATGGAATTGACAGCCATCGCATTTTTCACCTCATGTTATTTCTTAATCCTTGTCCCACTAGGCATCCACTACATGTTTGGTAATGACGTGATGTTGAGGCGGCTAGGAGAAGCTTAG